AGTGTTATGGACAAATTGATGAGTAGACTCCCCTAAAATAGTAACAACCAATACTGGCTTTTTATTTAGGTGTATTCTCTTCTAATGTTTTACAGTGTTATGTTACATGTTTTTTTTTGAACAGGCTTGGTATTGTAGATTGGATGATACCTGGAGTGCATATTCTAAAAAATATGAACCGCTTAGTTCAAATACTTAGTAGTTGGTCAAAACCTTAAAGATTTACTAGTAACATCTATATTTTGTGCAACCTAATTTCAAAATTAAAGTTTTTTTGTTTTTTAATTCTTAAGCAGTAGTGTTTCCTGTGTTAGGTCTTTCTTATCTGTATTCCTTTATTCCTAGTTAGGTTTGGAGCCCAATTTTGTTTAATCTTCTCTTAAAAAAAACAAAACAAAACAAAAAAACAAACCAACCAGCAACATAAGGCCACTAGAAGCCCTGAATGCTTATTGCAGAGTTTCCCAACAGGTGTGCTGTTAGGCACATCCAGGTGTGCCATGGCATTTTGGGCTGGAGCCACATGCCTGCTGCTGCTGTAGACACAGACAGAGCGAGGCTTCTGCCAGGCAGGGGGTGTGGCTCCAGCCCAAAATGCCATCTGGCTGGCTGCGCCCCGCCCCCCGGTTGGTGTCCGGATGGCTGTGCACGCTCCCACCCCCTTTCCTTGCCCCTGTCAGTCAGTGTCTGGCTGGCCACCTGCCATTTCCCCCCCCCCCTCCCCCATGTCCAGCGTGGCATGGTGCTTTTTTATTTGGGTAAGTGTGTCGTGGGGTGAAAAAGGCTGGGAAACGCTGGCTTATTGTCTGTTTTCAAGGTAGACTAAACAAATGGGTTTAATCAACAATGTACCCATGAAGCCTGTAGGAATTTTATCAGTGGCTTCTATTGGCCAATAGAAGAGTATAAGAGGAAGATAGGTAAGACTCTGACTACATAGAATAGTAGTGTAAAACTTGAGTTCTGGGCTCCTTTGTCTTGTACTTCTAAGGAAAGACCACCAACAGTATGTATTGGTCTCTCAAGTATAGTCTGCCTGTTACTTTTATTATATATATGCTTTTCCTATATATTTGTTAAAACTTTATTTGTTAAAGGATGTCACTTTAAATTATGTTAGCCTTTTAGTGTATATAAAAAAAATTAGAAACAATGCTTCATATCCTTTTCCTATCACCCTATTTCTTTTCAAATACAGAGAATGCATTAAAAATAACTATCTAGTTGGTCTAATCCTTTTACCCCTAGACCAATACAGCTACAACCTGGATACCTGTAAAAATAACTTGACTGTCATCCATCATGAGATACAGTCACTTTCCTGTTCCACAGAGGAGAGCTGGGGCTTTTCATAGGGGTCTCTCCAGGATGAGTCTGTGTGTTTGTGGTCCGTGACTGGGAAGAGAGAGCTTTTACCACGGGTGCTTCAGTGCTTTCTCTCTGCTACTTGTTTTGTTTTGGAGGCAAAGACAGTTTGCTTCCAATCTCCCATATTTTTCTCTAGGGAAGTTAGAAAATTGGAGAGCATGGAGAACAGTTGGATGTTTCCAATTATATATGTAAGGAATGAAGTAGAAAATATTGGAGCTAGGGGTATACCAAGAGAGATTTTTGGGGGCGATTTTATTTATTTATTTATTTATTTTTTAAGGATGCATATCAGCCGATGCCAGTTCAATTTCTGATATGCATCTGGTAACTTTGTGGTGGAAACGAAGGAGGAGCGATCAAGGCCCATGGGGGGGCGAGGCTGGGGCAGGCGCTGCCCAGCCAGGGTGGGGAGGGGTGTGGGACAGCTGCAAGCGGCTCATTTGGGGGGGGGGATGTGCCCCCCAGCATCTGCATGGGGCAGACTGCAGCTGTGGGCCAGGACAAGTGTGGGAAGGAGCCATGGCTCATCCCAGATCAGGGTGGGGCGGGCTGGGGCTGGGGCTGTGCCAGGTTCTTCCCAGCCAGGCAGATGTGGGGGCACATGCCTCCCATGCCCTCCCAGATGAGCAGAGGGAGCAGCATCGGTAGCCACCAGATGAGCACCGGATGAGCAGCATGTAGTGGCAGGAGCCGCCGTCCCTTTCCCCCCCTTCCTTCCCCTGGACAAACTGTGGCTTCATTCCATGCCTTCCCCACCCCAACTGAGCATCCTCTGCCCCAGCCCCACACTCTCCGGTACAGTGGGGGCCTTGATCTGTCCCTCCACACCCGTTCCCTCCCCCGTGCCATCCCATCCCTTCCCCTGTCCCCTCCCAACACGCCAGACATACCAGCTGCAGGCAGCTCTCCATGCTGCTGGCTCTACTCCTCCCTGCCTATGTGCTGCACTGTGGCTGCGTGCATGCACAGGCATTTATCGGACAAATTATTGGCCTCATCAGGCCAATTTCTGATACAGAAAATGTTCTTTATATCGGCGCTGATCCAATATCAGACTGATGTGTCAGTATACCTCTAATTGAAACTGTTGTTCCCCTATATAAATCAGTAGTATTCTGTTATCACCAGTACTGCATTCAAGTGTAGCCACCTCATTGTGACTAAAA